ATATTTTTATATCTTTTTGAGTCTTATGTCCTACTATACTGTGATATTTTTATATCTTTTTGAGTCTTATGGCCTACCATACTATATTTTTATATCTTTTTGAGTTCTATGTCCTACTATACTGTGATGTTTTTATGAAATTTGTTTCAATTTTCTAAACTTTTTTTTACATTTGATGGCATACTAGACAATATTTTTTGTGAAATTTAATGGCATATAATATGATGAAATGTTTATTACGACACTTTTATGACGTATACCATGGGATATTATTAATGCCATTGCTGCAGCATACTTTTTTGGTATTATTATTATGTCATCACCAGTGAGGTCAGAACGTGGTTCCTAATGCAGAGAAGAGGGCGGCAGGTAAAAGCACACAGAGCTTTAAGAACAAAGCCGATTAAAAAAAAAAAAAAAAAAAAAAGAGTACAAACCGGCAAATAAAAGGAAGGAAATACAGCATAAAGTGTATATTTTCATGCTGTGTACTATCATGCATTTTTGTTTATTTACTGTAAAGCACTAACTGTTTTGAAAAGTGCTATATAAATGAATTAATAGATTTTTTGAGCAACAACCAAAATAATGAGAATATCATGTGTAAAATGATATGTATAGATTATCCTTTAAATAACTGAAATAAATGATAGGAACAGACAAAACATCACAACAAAAATGTTTTTTTTATTCATTGTATTGCATTTACAGTCCACACACCAGACATTTTACCCACACGGATAATAAAAAAACATCCAGCCACACATGTTCCGGGTGAGTACGTGAAGCTTTGGTATCAATATTCAGTTATGAGCATTAAAGGGCATCGTGACATGAGGAAGTTTGGCTTGTTATGGGTGAAAGCTCTGCTTCAGGATCTCAGACCATGTCATGCTTTGATGATGTGCTGTCTAAAGATATGTACTGTGTATACTCAGTTATTAACCCATTCTTACCATGCCAGCATGGTACAACAATATGTAAAGCAGCCACGGACACGTTTATATGATTTATTCATTAGATTTATATTACTACACTGGGAGCACACATGTGCAGTGTGTGTACGGTCAGATATGTTGCACTTAACCTCACAGCTGTGCAGAAATGATAATTTGCGATCAACACGTGGCTTCAAAATCTCCTGTAGATGTTGGAGAGCTTCATACTCATGGAAGCACTTTTTCCTTGAACTTGTTACTCTTCTGTATCGGCTTCAAGGTCTCCAAGAGTACTGCTACGTCAGGAAGTCATTTACAGCAGACAAAAACGAGCCACACTAAATGTCACGAGAGCGCCGTTAGTATTAGCATCCATCATCTAGAGTGATCAAAGTACAATAAATCATGAGATGACAAGCAACAGCATTGATAACAAAACTAAAGATTTGGGAGGTAAATGTGTAAAAAGAGGTGGTTAACATAAAAGACTAATTTTGATTCAAACGTAACACACACACACACACACAAAAAATACAATTTAAATAGCTAAAACTAATCTTCACTGATACAAAAAAAAAAACACAGCAAGAAATTTACAACCAGGCGTGTGATCGGGACACAGCCATAAAAATACAGGCGTAAAAAGGAAGGAAACAGGAAACGGCCGTTAATAGTGAGCGGGAGTTCTGGGCCTTTATAAAGGCTGCGAGTCTGCACAGAGAAACTTGGTAGTCACTGTGTTCCATTCATTTGGTTCTCTCTTCCCTTTGGTTCCTCCTCCTCTGACAGCATCGAGGATAGTGTTCATCTGCTGGTGGTCCAGTGTCGGATTCATCCGCCTCCTAAAGTTCATGTCAGAGCCTCCCCTCCCCCGGGACGGGGAATGTTGCATGTGTCTCACAGTAAAGGTCTCTAGCACATACAGAAGTTAATGGACTTCTACACTAACTAGGAATAAGCTCCTTGTAGATAAAATACATGCAAGGCAGCAGAAGCAACGTTTAATAGAGCCCTCCATATAAAGGGGTTTGAAGCAGCTAATGAGCCATTCATCTAAACTACTTTTGGATTGTGAGGTTTTTAAAAATCTCTTCATCATGTTTTCAGTAAAGAAGAAAGCGATATAAAGTCCAATATAAACTTTGCTCAGCAGCTAGTGGCTAACGTCTGCAGTAGAAGGTGGTGCAGCTGTGGGCCCAATGAAAGAAGATCACTCCGCACAGCCGAGGGTGGCAGTTCAAACCCAGAGCCCTGCAGCTTGCTAACATTTGCCACCGTTAGCATTGACGCAATGTGGCAGTCGATACCAATACCAGTGAAATTCTGTGTGAGATTCTCGGTACCCAATTTGATACCATGGTAAAAAATAAACACTTGGAGCTAGTGATAGGATGTTAAAGCTCATAATTCCCTCTCTAATATCGGTTTCATATTGCTGAGCAGACATCTCTGTCAAACAACTGGGTTTAATCAATTTTCTCTCCAAAAAACACATCTTACAAGATCACATTTTAACACCACGATATTCGCCAAATACTAATTTTTACTGAGTAGAGCTTGAAAGCAGTTAACTCTGCAGGACTGCTGCTAACCGCTAACGTTAGCTAGCTCTCTTCCTGTTGGTACCAAGATGGATTTGTTGTTCACGTAGTGTTATCAGGGAGAAAATAGGGTGTGTCGATAGTGAGTTTACTGCGTCCGCTGTTAGCCTCGAGCTAACGGTGCCTGCGGTACTGAAAAAAAAAAAAAAAAGGTCCAGTCACGTTTTCCGAAATTTTGGCATGGTCTTGGTACCTAAGTGTCAGTTTCAGTGACATCCCCAGCCACCGGAGGTCACTGTTGGACCTGGTGAGGCTGTAGCAGCAACCCCAGAGTGTACTGAACTGAACAAGGCTGTACTTTATTTTCTTGTGAATTCCTGTGAGCTTAAAGGAGGTTCAGTATTGGACATATTTGGTGTCTGCAGGACGTGAAATAAGCAACTGTTTGCCAACACGTTCGCCGCAACAACTTTATAAAAAAGGGTCATTTCAGCTTGTTGTGCTGCCCCCAAGTGGCCAAAATGTAAATGACACGATATAATAATCAACAGGTGTAAATGTTATTCTGTTTGGGTCTCACTGACAAATAAAAGAGCTACAAAGCAACCTTTGGACAAGCCCAAAGGATCCCCAAAGGTAAATGATTGAACTATTCTTTAAGCCATTAAAGAATGTTTAATTAGAGTGATTAGTTAGAGTGTTCATGAACTCTTCATAAAACAATGACTTATTAGAAAGTAAGAACACAAAGCTTGCACGAAATGAAACAGAAAGCCTCAACAATCTAAAAGACTGCACGCATATCACGTCACGACTACAATTCTAACGAACAACAAATGACATACATACTAGTCCATGCAGGAATGTACGCCATCAAACCCAAAGAAAAACATCTAAAGCTCCCAGAGAGTAGGTTCTGGTGGCATCACCAGTTTTGGATGAATTAAGTAATAAATATGTCAGAAGCTCATCATCAGAGAGATAACAGAGCTCAGCAGAGTGAGAAGTCAGACGGAGAAGAGCTGGAATACCATCCACCAATCAGCACGCTGGTCTGCGAGGTGTGAGGGTGTGTGTGTGTGTGTGTGTGTGTCTGCTGTATTCCCTTCACACTCCGTAGTTCACAGAGCTCAGCGCTGGTCTCTTCTTGCTTTTAATCTTCAGGGATCCGTAACGAGCCTGGAGACAAAATAACACAGTTATGAACGTGTCCGTACACCTGAGTTTATGTTCCATTATATATACCGTATGTAAAACAACCCTCTTGTTGTACTCGTGTCCTGTGTTTATCTGAACACACAGCCTCCAGCGTGTGGACCGGAACACTTACGTCTCTGCGGACTCTGGATCGTATGATCTTGACACTCTGCGATCGTCTCAGTCCTTTCTGAGTGACGGCCTCGTCTTCAGAGAAGATCGCCTCGGCCTCTTCGTCAGTCCTCTCCTCTGGGTCATAATAGTCTGAAAAACACACACACACACACACACACACACATCAGCACTCACTGAAACACAGACTCAGTGTTTCAGACGCCATGTGTGAATAACTGAACCTGTAAGGATGAACACGTCTCACAAACGTACAGGTTGAAGCAACGGTTCTGTTCCATGTCCCTGCTCCTGGACCTTGACCTGGGAGTGTGATTGGTGGAGATAATAAAGGGCTCACTATCAGGGATGCAGGGTTTTTCTTTGAGACTTGAATGGAGGGTAGGGATGCCCCCCCGTAGCCCCCTTCTAAATGAGTAAAACCCGAGTATTGAGGTCCGGAGTTAACGGTTCAGCTATCGGTACAATTTTAGCGTCTCAAGTCATGCTTTACTCTGACACACACACACACACACACACACACACTTTAAACTGAAGCTGAATATCAATCTGCACAAATGATCAGTTTCTACTGTGTGGGGAGCAGCCGTCCATCCTGGTCCACTGCAGGTAACGTGAGTGATGTCAGGAGAGCAGGCTATCAATGAAAGCTAATGGCTCAGCTCATTGTGTAGCTGTGACTGGACTTTAAGGATTTTGGAGCTTTTTGTATCGCTGCTCAAAAAAGACTTTGTTTACATTCAACAATAATAAGCAATGTTGATTCTTTTCTTCATTATTTGTCTTTTTTTCTCATAATATCATCAGAAAGAAGCGCTGAGGCTGTCATTATAATAGCATTGACAGTATCAAGTCTACCTCGCTGCCTGAGTGCAGAAAGAGGACATTAGAACGTGCCACGAAGACAGAAAAAGAAAATGAAAAATTGTTAAATTACAGATGGAATGACAGAAAGAAAGCATGACAGTAGTGCACACTCTGACCTCGAAATAAAATAGTGACAATGAAAGTACATTTGCTGAACTTGATGGCTGGTTCCACACTGTGGTTACAGGCCTGTGTAGAGAGGAGAAGGAAGGCAGCCGGTCCAGCAGAGGGCAGCAGACAGCCAGCAGAGCCACCGCTGCCTCCCCACACTAACAGGTTCTGATAGACGAAGTGAAACAAAGACATGAAAGACGTGATGGCAGCAGTATGGCACCCGTTCAGAAGGTTTCTTTATAGTGAGAAAGGGATCAATGGACCAATGGTATTTCATTTATTTGATAATCTAATTGTTAGAATTACTCTGTTCATTACATTTCAAACTTGTTTCCTTGCGATGGACAGTTTGTGGACTGTTTCTTATCTTGGTAAGATTGTTGTGGACCACTTGTAGAAGAGAGGAAATGTATTCTTGTATGGTTTCCTGCACGAGGGACAACATTGTTACCTAAAGTATTACCACCTGGTCGCCCTCTGCCCTGGCAGTATTGGTGTCCATCGGTGTTTTCTAATGCTGAGGTAGTGTTTGAACAGCGACGTGTTTTCCATTTGTTCTGGTTCTAGCTCCCGCTGCTGCTGCTGTTGTCACATCTGGAGTCAATTAGAGAAAACCTCCCACTCTCCAGAGCTGGAAGCAACGTTTCCCTTCCCCAGAGGAAGCGGGGCGGGATGAGACGGAGGCTAGCTTCACACGAGATCTCACATTCCAACACAGGATCAAAAATGCCCTCTGAATACTGAATACTGTCTGTGATGGTCGAATGGGAATCAGAATCCATCACAAACACGAGAAACAGAGCCTCGTTTTTTAGGTCTATTGATTAAAGATTCCAGTCCTGCTACTTGTGCACAAGGCTCATCTCCGCAGCTGTGACTACGGCTCGTCTCAGACCCATACGGTCCAACGTCTCCCAGCACACTGAGGAAACACACGAACGACATGTTCCACAGTCATGTTCCAGGGTGGAATCTACATTCTCTGTCTGGACTGCGGAGAACAAATTCAAGTCATTCCAGCAAATCGCGAGTCTATTCTGTGTCGAACTCTCCAATTTGCTGTCATGTCCAGAGCTTAGGGCTTTATTAAGCAGCACTCAGCCAACAGCAGAGACCCGGAGCAGCCTGCCCAACCACAATGTTGGATTCTTTCCGTTTCACCAGAAGAAGAAAAAAGGCACAGCCTTGTGTTTTCTTGTTCTGGTGTATTCACATTGTCTCAACCTGCTGTTGAGCTTTATCTTCATTCTAAAACACACTTCTCATGGCACGCTCCAAAAACACACGTCAGAATCCACCTGTGAATCTACACCTGATGTATCATTGGACACAATAGTGTTTTCTTCTTCTTAGACTCTGAAGCTCACAGACCTCAATCGTTCTATATCCGAGTCTGCTTTCATCGTCTGTTACCTCAAATAACAGAACACAGCTAAACTGAAGAAGATCAAGAAGTTTGACATTGCGTACTAAATATTTTGCACTGATCATTTATCGAGTAGCAGCAGCTTTTTCCACTTCGCAATATTTGAACACAAAATCTCTTGACCTTGTCACGCAGATGATACTCAGTTATACATGCCAGTGCAATGACTCCATCTCTACTCTCCTGAACGTCTGGATGATATAGAACAACCCAATCCACCTCATCAAACCCACTCCTAAGAAGAAGTGTACTGATCCAGGTTCTTTCTCTGTCTTAATGTTGTTTGATATCCTCTTGTGGCCAAGGTATTTACTGCGCCCTCGACATAAACATGAATTATAGGGTTTATTTATAGCATCGAAAGCAAACTGCTGGTCACAATGTTAATGAAACAAAATAAAGCAGATTGATCACTTTGATCAATTAGTGATCCGCTGTTAAGAATGAAAAATCATTGTGACCGTGGGGGTCACGGTCACCATGTAACTGCAGCATCCCTCCTCTGGACTCCTCTAGACTCCCGTTTCATGTTGTCACCTCTGGACTCCCGTTTCATGTTGTCACCTCTGGACACCCGTTTCATGTTGTCACCTCTGGACACCCGTTTCATGTTGTCACCTCTGGACTCCCGTTTCATGTTGTCACCTCTGGACTCCCGTTTCATGTTGCCACCTCTGGACACCTCTTTCATGTTGCCACCTCTG